TGAAGGTTGGCAGTCCCAGCATCTGAGAGCAGATCTGATTATCACAAGCATGACTTCAGAACTCTGTCATGGCAGGAAAAGGCATCTGTGTCTTGGTCATGATCCTGAGAGTCTGAAGTACTATTTCTATCTCAAACTCACTACAAAGTCATGAATCCATTTTGTTTTGGACAATGGCCTTTTATCTGAGGAATTCAGTGCATTTTCTGAGTCTTATCTGTTTGAGATTGGTTCTTGCAGAAACTCTTGGTGTTACTCAAGCCTCAGTGATTAGATGTTTTATTAGCTTTAAGAATTAATGGGCCGGGTGCAGTGGCTCATGCCTGTAATCCCAGTACTTTGGGAGGCCGAGGCAGGTGGATTACCTGAGGTCAGGAGTTTGAGACCAGCCTGGCCAACATGGTGAAACCCCCCTTGTTTTCATGCATTTTTGTTTGCAGGAGTTTTAATGTGGGAAGTTTTTACAGAAGGAAAAATGCCTTTTGAAAATAAGTCAAATTTGCAAGTCGTGGAAGCTATTTCTGAAGGCTTCAGGTTATATCGCCCTCACCTAGCACCAATGTCCATATATGAAGTTATGTACAGCTGCTGGCATGAGGTAAGTAAGTGTATGTTACTTTCCTGTGAAGGTTGGCAGTCCCAGCATCTGAGAGCAGATCTGATTATCACAAGCATGACTTCAGAACTCTGTCATGGCAGGAAAAGGCATCTGTGTCTTGGTCATGATCCTGAGAGTCTGAAGTACTATTTCTATCTCAAACTCACTACAAAGTCATGAATCCATTTTGTTTTGGACAATGGCCTTTTATCTGAGGAATTCAGTGCATTTTCTGAGTCTTATCTGTTTGAGATTGGTTCTTGCAGAAACTCTTGGTGTTACTCAAGCCTCAGTGATTAGATGTTTTATTAGCTTTAAGAATTAATGGGCCGGGTGCAGTGGCTCATGCCTATAATCCCAGTACTTTGGGAGGCCGAGGCAGGTGGATTACCTGAGGTCAGGAGTTTGAGACCAGCCCAGCCAACATGGTAAAACCCCGTCTCTACTAAAAATACAAAAATTAGCCAGGCATGGTGGTGCATGCCTATAATCCCAGCTACTGGGGATGCTGAAGCAGGAGAAGAATCTTGAACCTGGGAGGCAAAGCTTGCAGTGAGCCGAGATCGTGCCACTGCACTCCAGCCTGGGCGACAGAGAGAGACTCTGTCTCAAAAAAAAAAAAAAAAAGAATTAAATGATGGAGGCTGTGTGTGGTGGCTCACGCCTGTAATCCCAGCACTTTGGGAGGCCAAGGTGTGCAGATCACTTGAGGTCAGGAGTTTGAGACCAGCCTGGCCAACATGGTGAAACCCTGTCTCTACTAAAAATAAAAACATTAGCCAGGCCTGGTAGTGCACGCCTGTAATTCCAGCTACTTGGGAGGCTGAGATAGAAGAATTGCTTGAATCTAGGAGGCAGAGGCTACAGTGAGCTGAGATTGCACCACTGTACTCCAGCCTGGGCAACAGAACAAGACTCTGTCTCAAAACAAACAAACAGATAAACAAATAAATAAAAGAATAAATGAAAGAATTAATGGTGGAAACTAAGGGTAGAACGAGGTTTGTTAAACTTCCACGTTGAAAAAGAAAGACGGTGTTTCCATTTACTTCACTCAACTTTCCTTTGTCTTGCTTTTCTAACGCTAATAGTAATGGGTTTCATCTGTCTTCTGACACTCAGGACTCCTGCTAGAGATTAAACTAGACTGGGAATGGAGGCAGAAAGTGTGTCAGGAACTTCCATTCAGGAAGAAATCTCTCCAGAACTTAGTTTTTCTATTTGTTGAAATGCCAAGCTTAGAAGTAAAGCCAGAGGGGCTTCTGTTCCACCTCTGGACACCGACTCAACACACCCCTGCCCTTCTCAGTGAACTTCCCCGTGATTTTGAGAGCTTTACTCTCTTTCCAGCTGACAGTTTCAGCCTAGAAAATTACAGCTTGATGAGAAGTTTCCTCCTGGCTGAAAAAATAAAGCACTTGATTATCAATTTATAACCACAAACACTAGAATATTGAGTATTTTCAGAGTGTGGTTGTTCATATTCCAAGAAGCATTACATTTATAGAAAGCCCCAATGTATGAAAATATTTTACATATATTAACTACTTTACAAGGAATCTTGAAAGACATAGAAAAATGTTCAGTAAGCTATAAAAAAAATGTTCAGAAAAATGTTCAGTAAGTAGTAACAAACAACTATTTTAGGAGCATCTTTGCAATAATAATGTAAGTAGCTCAGAAGTATACGTTGTGTATGAAATAATACTAATGTACGTGTGTGTGTAATATAATACTTATTGAGATGTTATATATAAGTGGATCTGAGACAGAGAAGGAGGAAGGGAGGTGATCAGTAGGATGCTGTCAGAAGGACCATGTAAACAACATTAGTCTCAAATTGCAGTCAGAACGTTGATTAATAGAATGGTGTAGTTATGTTGATTTATTTGTTTGAAAAAGTTGATTTGACCAGGTGTGGTGGCTCACGCCTATAATCCCAGCACTTTGGGAGGCCGAGGTAGGAAAATCATGAGATCAGGAGTTCAAGACCAGCCTAGCTAACATGGTGAAACTCCGTATCTACTAAAAATACGAAAAAATTAGCTGGGCGTGGTGGCAGGCACCTGTAATCCCAGCCACTTGGGAGGCTGGGGCAGGAGAATTGTTTGAACCTGGGAGACGGAGGTTGCAGTGAGCCAAAATCACGCCATTGCACTCCAGCCTGGGAGACAGGGCGAGACTGTCTCAAAAAAAAAGAAAAGAAAAGAAAAGAAAAAAAGTTGATTCATTTTTGAGACAGAGTCTTGCTCTATTGCCCAGACTGGAGTGCAGTGGCATAATTACAGCTCACTGCAGCCTTGACCTCCTGGGCTTAAGCAATCCGCCGAGCTCAGCCTCCTGAATAGCTGGGACTACAGTGATGTGCCACCATGACCAGCTAATTTTTAAAAATTTTTTCTAGAGATGGGGTCTCACTTTGTTGCCTCAGCCTAAAGCAGTCCTCCTGCCTTGGCCTCCCAAGGTGCTGGGATTACAGATGTGAGCCACTGTGTCAGGTGCGAAAGTTGATTTTGCCTGCAAGTTTACCCCATGTGCTTAGGGCATTAGAGTCAAAAGTGATTATGTTATATTTGAGAGACAAATTTCAGGATTCATGCACAGAAGCAGGTTCCTCAGAGAGCCCCACAATTTATTCCCAGAGTCTCAATGAGGACCCTCACTTGCACTTGTGCTGTCTTCTACTCTGTTTATTTTATTGAGGCTCTCTGTTTATAAGCCATGAAGAGGGGTATCTTTCCGCTGACCCTGCTGTTGGTGACACCTGTGAGAATGTGGCTACTATGAGTAGCTCTGTTTCCCACAGCTTTCAAAGAGGCTGACAGTGCCATCTCTTCTTCCTCATGGACTCAGAGCCAAACCACACCCTTAAATGAAGTAGGAAAAAATGCTCCAATCCTTGGCTCCATGACCAGGGATATGGGGTCACTTATGGTGAATATCTTCCTTTAGAGTTGCTGACTCTTGAAAACTGTGCAAAGATCACAGGCTTTTAAAACTTTTTAAAATGTAAGAATATTCAGCAATCATTTTGCTATGAGTGAGAGGAACTTCCACACTCTTATTTTTCTGTTGACTGCGACTGAAAGCACAGCCTATACCCCAGGATCTTCAAAGTCCCTCATGAAAACTTGCCTTTTGCTTTCTGACTGAAATCCTCCTTTCTATAACGGCTCAGGTATCATAGATACCCTGAACTGAGCTTGGGAGCCTGGTACTCTAGATGCCCCTTCTGCCAGCCCTTTCTTGACCTCACACATGTCAAGTCATCCAAATATGTCTCTAGGGTGGTGGTGTCCTAGAGTACTTTCTGAGATGCTGAAAACGTTCTGTATCTGTGCTGCCCAATATAGCAGCCACTTCTGGCTATTGGGTACTTGAAAAGTGGCCAGCATGACTGAATAACTGAATTTAAACATTTATATCATCTTAAGGAATTTAAATTTAAATAGCCACATGTGGCCAGTGTTTGCAGGTCTAGCCATTTTATTTTTGCAGCATTCTCTAACATTTTCATACTCATGCCTCGCTCAACTGCCAATCATGCTGTGGTATGTCGGTGAAGATACCTTTCTCTTCCTTTTTGTGGAGAGCCAGCCTAGATTCAGGTCCCTGCCAGCAAGTTCCAGAGCTGGTCTCTGAGTGATCCTTAGCCCATTTATGCCACAGGTGGCAATTTTTTGAATTTTTGCATGAATGAAAAATCAGACCTTGGCGATGATCTTGAGCAGTGGGATATAAATAACTCCCACATGCTTAGCGTTCCAAAAATGAAACACTTGGCATAAGTGGGTTAAGCTAAGCTAACCACCCCCACTTCCCTTTTCCAGAAACCCAAAGGCCGCCCTACGTTTGCAGAGCTGCTGCGGGCTCTCACAGAGATTGCGGAAACCTGGTAACCCGAAACAGAATGCCAACTCAAAGAGTCATCTTGCAAAACTGTCACCTACTGTGAACATCTTCACCATATGGGGTCACTTATGGTGAATATCTTTCTTCATGGTTGCTGACTCTTGTGAACAGTGCAAAGATCACAGTTTTTAAAACTTTTAAAAATTTAAGAGTATGCAGACAATCGTTTTGCTATGTGGGAGAGGGACTTGCACACTCTTATTTTTCTGTAATATATTTCACATCCCGAATGTGAAGAAGTGAAAAAGGCTTCTCAGCAGTCTTCACTGTGGCTGCTCTTCATGATCATAGCCCCAGGAACCCTTGAGGTTACATGAAAACCTGACCCTTCACAAGGCTGAAAGTGTTTCCTTCTTGAAGAGGAGTGACATTCATCACTTCGGTGATCCATGCATAGAAGATGAAAATGAATTCTGCCAATTCATGGGATATAGGGCCTCCCTTGAATAATTTCATGTTTTGGGGCTGTGTAGATCTTTATAGTAAATGCACCTTTATAAACCACATGAATGTTAGTGTTCTGGAAATGTCTTTTGTTAATATGATCTTCCTATGTTATTTAACAAATTGTTTTTCCACATATCTGATTATATTGAAAGCAGTTTTTTTGCATTTGAGTTTTAAACACTGTTATAAGATGTAGCCAAAGCTCACCTTTGAACAGATCCTGGTGACATCCTATTTCCAGGAAAATCCAGAACCTGATTTTAGTTCTGTGTTTTTACACTTCTTACATGTGAGATTAGACAGTTTCAGAGGCCTTATTTTGTCATAGTAAGTGTCTCCTGTAATTTTCAGGAAGATGACTTGTTCTTTCTAGAAGAGGAGACAAAAGTAAGATAGCCAAATGGGACATCAAGCTCCATTGTTTCGGAAATTCAGGATTTTGAATTCAAGATGAAACAACCAGCAATCACAGTTAAATCTTAACTTTGCCTGCACTCTTTGTAGGAATGATCAGAAATTTATCTTTATCATTCTGAGTGCTTCAGGAGTACAATAGGAAGAAAGATACTGGAGAACGCACAAGTGTAATTACCATGAAGTCTAACAACAGGAGCCCATTATTTGTGTACTTTCCCACCCTGTATCATGGTTCTCTGGGAACAAGCTTTATTATTCTCATTAGTGTTTAAATTGTTGATTGTCAGTAGTTGTGACTTTTAAATTATATTTCCTCACTCAAAGAATGGTATCTTTATATATCAATGACACTCAATAAATGTGTATTATTTCTAATGAGAATCAGGTACAAGAAGATACTTGATAGTTCAAGTGGTGGTCTCAGAAATGTTTTGGCTGAATGTGGTGGCTCATGCTTATAATCCCAGCACCTTGGGAGGCTGAGGTGGGAAGATAGCTTGAGTCCAGTTTGAGACCAGCCTGGGCAACAAAGTGAGATCCCGTCTCTACCAAACAAAACAAAACAAAAACTAGGTGTAGTGATGTAGTCCCAGCTACTTGAGAGGCTGAGACAGAAGCCCAGGAGGTCCAGGGTGCAGTGAGCCATGATTGTGCCAGTGCACTCCAGCCTGGGTGATAGAGCGAGACCCTGTCTCAAAAACAGAAACAAGTTTGTATGAGATGCTAGTCTGTTTCTGAGACTATCACACCCCCTTTCCTATGACTCCTGTTATGGTGAGGAGCGATAGAAGGCTCCTGTTACTGAGATCTCAATTCACATAATATGTGAATTTATATAAGATAGTCTAGCTCAAGAAGACATGAGACTACAAAACAGCAAAAGTGGACAGAAGGGAGGTTAATGTTATGACATAGGAAATAATGTAGCATCAATATATGGATGCAGTAAGTTGCCCTTTCCATGTTTTACTCAGCTTGGAAGTGCCAATTTCTCTCAAAAAGAAAGAAAGAAAGAAAGAACCCAGCAAAGCCAAACTCTGAAAAGCCAGGACTGAGTATGGAGCATCTGCCATCACTATAGATGTACCAGGTACAGAGCAAAGAGTGACACCCAGAAGTAAATCATTCTAAGAGGGCAACAACTATGACAGCGCCTGGCACTTCTAAGAGGGTGCAGCACTTCTAAGGTACTGGGCAAGCTCTATTCCTTTTGTTTTAACACCTCAGGAAAATTTGAGTTACTAAATTAGGAACAAGAATAACTGGGGGTATGTCTTAGGTAACTAAGAGTCCAGATAATGTGTGAATTTTGAATGTGCATGAAAAAAGATTTACCATTCTTTGTTTAACTAAACAAAAAAGTTTCTTTAAGAGGTTGTCAGCCAGGCACAATGGCTCACGCCTGTAATTCAGCACTTTGGGAGGCCATTGCAGGTGGATCATCTGAGGTCAGGCGTTAGAGATCAGCCTGGCCAACATGGTGAAACCCTGTCTCTACTAAAAATACGAAAAGTTAGCCAGGCGTGGTGGCATGTGCCTGTAATCCCAGCTACTCGGGAGGCTGAGGCAGAATTGCTTGAACCCAGGAGGTGGAGGTTGCAGTGAGCGGAGACTGTGCTACTGCCCTGTATCCTGGGCGACAGAGTGAGACTCTGTCAAAAAAAAAAAAAAAAAAAAGAAAAAGAAAAGATACAACTTCTCCTGGAAGGGAACTATGTTTTGCAACCAATCTTAATATTAGTTACTGATATGAGGATTCTCTGGGTCATTTGAGGTGAAGATAGTGCAATATTTAAACAGCTCTGCATAATAATTGAATAGGAGGTTTAGGGGTTGATTGTAGAGTCCTAAAAAGGAGAATATAGGAGGTCAACAGACAGAGAAGAGGCTCAGAAAAATGGAATTAATTTGGAGGCCAAGAAGAATGTACAATCAGTGAAAATAACCTTTTGGCAAGAATAGATAAAGGTATTTAGTAAACTTTTTATTGAAGTACAACACATGGTACCACCATGGTATTGGTAACATGGCTGAACTGACAAGCAAACTGATGAGATCCAAGAGCATTTAGCCTGGCACTAAATTTGCTTAACTTTATAGTAGGATACAGGACAGAAAATTAAGTATGCATGATGCCTGGGTCCCTCCTCACCTGCCTAAAGAGTGTGCATGATTACTGGGGATGAGGTTGTGGTATGTGGGGTTCACCTTGATGCAAAGAAACTTCTACTTGAGCTTCCCACCAGTCATATAGGCCTACGGTTCACAGGTCTCCCAGCCCCATGTACTGTCCCATAGATTGTAGGTTTCACAGTGCACAAAGTGGATTTCTGTCCCTGGTACCCAACATTCCAAATTTGTCTTAATTTGGGTCATTTACAAGAAACTTGTGCTGGGAGAAGACAAACCTACAATTTCCCAGGCAGGCTTAGTGCTGGGAGAAAAATGGTACAGACCCGCTATTAACTCTTTGCTCACACATACATAAAGAAAAGTACACAAATCGTGAGTATATTCATATTGGCAAAGTGAATACATCTCTGTAATCAGGCTCAGATCAAGAAATGATGCATTCTGGCCAGGTGTGGTGGCTCACACCTGTAATCCCAGCACTTTGGCAGGCCAAGGTGGGCAGATTACTTGAGGCCAGGAGTTCGAGACCAGCGTGGCCAACATGGTGAAAACCCCACCTCTACTAAACACACATACACACCCACAAATTAGCCAGGTGCAGTGGTACATGTGTGTAATCCCAGCTACTTGGGAGGCTGAGGCGCACAAGCAAGAATCGCTTGAGCCTGGAGGGCAGAGGTTGCAGTGAGCCAAGATGGTGCCACTGTACTCCAGCTTGGGCAACAGAGTGAAACTCTGTCAAAAAAAAAAAAAAAAAAAAAAAAAAAAAGAAAGAAAAGAAAAAGAAAAAAAAAAAGAAAAAAGAAAAGAAAGAAAACATTCTAGAATTTCGGAAGCCATTCTGTTTCCCTATTTGTCACTAACCCAAGAGTAATTAATAGCCTGAGTTCCAGCACCTTGGATTTGTATGGGCTATTTTTAAACGTTCTATAAATGGAATTTTATGGTATGTACTCTCTTGTACCTAGCTTCTTGCACTCAATAATATGTTTGTTTCATCCATCTTTGTTGTATGTAGTTGTACTTCATTTATTCTCATTTTTGCATTGTCTTGAATTGTACAATTATTTTACATATTTATCTATTCTAATTTCAATGAATATTTGAGTTATTTCCAATTTTTAACTTTTTAAAAAAATTATACATTAAGTTCAATAAACATACATATGCATGTATCTTTATAGTAAAATAATTTATAATCCTTTGGGTATATATCCAGTAATGGGATTGCTGGGTCAAATGGTATTTCTGATTCTAGATCTTTGAGGAATTGCCACACTGTCTTCCACAATGGTTGAACTAATTTACACTCCCACAACTATGTAAAAGCGTTTCTATTTCTCCACATCCTTTCCAGCATCTGTTGTTTCCCTTGTAAGTTGTATTCCTAGGTATTTTGTTCTCTTTGTAGTAATTGTGAATGGGAGTTCACTCATGATTTGACTCTCTATTATTGTTGTGTAGGAATGCTTGTGATTTTTCCACGTTGATTTTGTATTTTGAGACTTTGCTAAAGTTGCTTATCAGCTTAAGGAGTTTTTGGGCTGGGATGATGGGGTTTTCTAAATATACAATCATGTCATCTGCAAACAGAGATAATTTGACTTCCTCTCTTCCTATTCGAATACCTTTATTTCTTTCTCAGTTTCCCTTGGCTAGGAAAAGGGATTCGCTTCTCCCTTGCGCTTCCCAGGTGAGGCAATGCCTCGCCCTGCTTCAGCTCTCGCTGGTCAGGCTGCACCAGCTGACCAGCACCAATTGTCCGGCACTCCCCAGTGAGATGAATCTGGTACCTCAGTTGAAAATGCAGAAATCACCTGTCTTCTGTGTCACTCACGCTGGGAGCTGGAGGTTGGAGCTGTTCCTATTCGGCCATCTTGGGCATGCCCTCTCTTTCTCTTTCCTGATTGCCCTGGCCAGAACTTCCAATACTGTATTGAATAGGAGTGGTGAGAGAGGGCATCCTTGTCTTGTGCCAGTTTTCAAAGGGAATGCTTCCAGCTTTTACCCATTCAGTTATACTGGCTGTGGGTTTGTCATAAATAGCTCTTAATATTTTGAGATATGTTCCATCAATACCTAGTTTATTGAGTGTTTTTATCATGAAGGGTGTTGAATTTTATTGAAGGCCTTTTCTGCATCTATTGAGATAATCATGTGGTTTTCGTCATTGGTTCTGTTTATATGATGGATTAAGTTTATTGGTTTGTGTGTGTTAAACCAGTCTTGCATCCCAGGGATGAAGCTGACTTGGTCATGGTGGATAAGCTTTTTAATGCGCTGCTGGATTCAGTTTGCCAGTATTTTTTGAGGATTTCCGCATGGATGTTCATCAGGCATATTGGCCTGAAATTTTCTTTTTTTGTTGTGTCTCTGCCAGGTTTTGGTATCAGGATGATGCTGGCCTCATAAAATGAGGTAGTGGGGAGTCCCTCTTTTTTTATTTTTTGGAATGGTTTTGGAAGGAATAGTACCAGCTCCTCTTTGTACCTGTGGTAGAATTCAGCTGTGAATCTGTCTGGTCCTGGGCTTTTTTTTTTTTGGATGGTAGGCTATTAATTACTGCCTCAATTTCAGAACTTGTTATTGGTCTATTCAGGGATTCAACTTCTTCCTGGTTTAGTCTTGGGAGCGTGTATGTGTCCAGGAATTTATCCATTTCTTCTAGATTTTCTAGTTTATTTGCATAGAGGTGTTTATAGTATTTATTCTCTGATGGTAGTTTGTATTTCTGTGGGATTAGTGGTGATATCCGCCTTATCATTTTTTATTGTGTCTGTTTGATTCTTCTCTCTTTTCTTCTTTAGTAGTGGTCCATCTATTTTGTTAATCTTTTCAAAAAACCAGCTCCTGGATTCATTGATTTTTTGAAGAGTTTTTCGTGTCTCTATCTCCTTCAGTTCTGCTCTGATCTTAGTTATTTCTTGTTTTCTGCTATCTTTTGAATTTGTTTGCTGTTGCTTCTCTAGTTTTTTAAATTTTGATGTTAGGGTGTCAATTTTAGAACTTTCCCACTCTCTCCTGTGGGCATTTAGTTGTATAAATTTCCCTCTAAACACTGCTTTAGCTGTGTCCTGGAGATTCTGGTACATTGTGTCTTTGTTCTCATTGGTTTCAAAGGACTTATTTATTTCTGCCTTAATTTTGCTGTTTACCCAGTAGTCTTTCAGGAGCAGGTTGTTCAGTTTCCATGTAGTTGTCTGGTTTCGAGTGAGTTTCTTAATCCTGAGTTATAATTTGGTTGCACTGTGATCTGAGAGATAGTTTGTTGTGATTTCTGTTCTTTTGCATTTGCTGAGGAGTGTTTTACTTCCAATTATGTAGTGAATTTTGGAATAGGTGTGATGTGGTGCTGAGAAGAATGTGTACTCTGTTGATTTGGGGTGGAGAGTTCTGTAGATGTCTATTAGGTTCG